TAGATAAATCCTCACACAAACACACATACATACACTATACATATACATACACTGTCATTGTCCAGCTGTACATGTATGGTTGCGCCTGCTGCGTAAACTCTGCTACATTGTACATGTATTAGCATTGCGCCGCCTGGATGAGTAAGCTCCACTGCTGACTGCAAAGTGACTGGTGCACCTGCCATAACTTAGTAGAAAGCGCGAGAGAGTAAGCAACAAACAAATGAATTTTTGGTAGTTTCAGTTCTGGCAGCCGCCCGTATCCACTCTTTACATGCCATAACTTAGTAGAAAGCGCGAGAGAGTAAGCAAGAAACAAATGAATTTTTGGTAGTTTCAGTTCTGGCAGCCGCCCGTATCCACTCTTTACATGCAACCCAAACCTCTTGCATGGCTTCCTGAAATAAAAATTACAAAAAAACGCACTTAGATAAATCCTCACTCAAACACACATACATACACTATACATATGCATACACTGTCATTGTCCAGCTGTACATGTATGGTTGCGCCTGCTGCGTAAACTCTGCTACATTGTACATGTATTAGCATTGTTCTGCCTGGATGTGTAAGCTCCACTGCTGACTGCATAGTGACTGGTGCAACTGCCATAACTTAGTAGAGAGCGCGAGAGAGTAAGCAAGAAACAAATGAATTTTTGGTGGTTTCAGTTCTGGCAGCCGCCCGTATCCACTCTTTACATGCCATAACTTAGTAGAGAGCGCGAGAGAGTAAGCAAGAAACAAATGAATTTTTGGTGGTTTCAGTTCTGGCAGCCGCCCGTATCCACTCTTTATATGCAACCCAAACCTCTTGCATGGCTTCCTGAAATAAAAATTACAAAATACGCACTTAGATAAATCCTCACACAAACACACATACATACACTATACATATACATACATTGTCATGTATGGTTGTGCTTGCTGCGTAAACTCTGCTCCACGCTGTGCCAAAAGGCACAGGTTCCATTAGTGCTAAAAGATCCCAAGGTATGTCGGCCATTGAAGTAGAGCTGAAAAACTATCCATGGTTGCAACATTCAATAGTTTCGATGGTTTTGCAACAATTATTCAATAGTATCGATAGTACTATCGAAAATATTTTCAAGTTAAAAAACAAACTAAATAAATGCATATTTAAAAATAAAAATAAAAATTTTAATAAACAATTCAGATGTTTACAATAATGAGATCCTTCATGGACTATAACAAAACAAAAAAATATTAAATATAATTAAAATTAAATGTATGGCTGTTAGCCAATGAAGTAGAGCTGTCAAATGAGATCCTTCTTGGACTATAATAAAACAAAAATATATTAAATATAATTAAAGATAAATGTATGGCTTTTAGCCAATGAAGTAGAGCTGTCAAACTATCGGTGGTTGCAACATTCAATAGTTTCGATGGTTTTGCATATATTATTCAATAGTATCGATAGTACTAAAAAACAAACTAAATAAATGCATATTTAAAAACAAAAATAAAAATTTTAATAAACAATTCAGATGTTTACAATAATGAGAACCTTCATGGACTATAACAAAACAAAAAAATATTAAATATAATTAAAATTAAATGTATGGCTTTTAGCCAATGAAGTAGAGCTGTCAAACTATCGATGGATTGTTGGGATTGTACCTTTTCATGTGGTTCTTAGCCTTTGTTGAACATATCAGTTCATCAACACACAAAAATTGTTCCATAGGAACTTTTTTAAAATTTTTGTTTAGTTCATCTATTATTGGCCTGATTTTGAATAGCCGATCGTGACAGGAGTGTGACAAAGGCAGAGCATTATCATTGTTGTTAAAGTAAATGTGACGCCTCATCATCTCAAATGTTTTTTGCGACATAATATTCTGTATCGCTGGTACTCCAATTATTGTTGACCAATATTGAGTAATTCTTGGAAGACGCGAAATTGACATGTATAATATTATTCCAACAAACTGTCGAATATCTAAGGACGTAAAATTGACATGTGCGTTAGGGTCTTTTTGGCGAATATAAAGATTTGTTTCGATTGTAATTTCATCAAACAGGTTTTTTGGAAAAAGATACCAAAAAAATTGTATTGGCTCTGATAGTTCCATTAGTTCCGGATGCAACATAGTACTCCCGAGAAACTGCAGTTGATTTTCGTTCAAAATTAAACTGCGTTTTCTCCATAGCAAGTTTCTTTTCAGATCAGGGTTATTACTTTTAACATTTGGCTCAGAATCATCTACGAGATTTGAGTTTGAAACGTCTAAGGCATTACTCGGTGGATTTTGGTCATCGATGTCATCTTCATCCGTACTACCTGCATCTTTCTCATCTGGATAAAAATCGCTTTCTTCATCAGCAGAAAAGTCAAGTTCATCCTCGCTATCTAAACTGTTGAAATAATTTTCAACCTGTGAAGGTGTTAAACCTTTTCCTGACATATTTCCTGCGTAAGAAGTACTATTTATATATGTAGTCTCATAAAACACATACAACAAACCCAAGACAAGTTCTATGACACATAACAACAACATATAACCATATGTATAAACACATAACAACATATAATATAAACACAAACACTCTATGTTGCATAAATACAACAAAATAAATTCTGCACAGTATAACTTCGAATACTTGTTTGATGTATATCTGCAACATACCGATTTTTCGAATCTACACACAATACACAACAAGAAACGTGAAAACTTGATAGCACATGCATTTGAAACATATTTACCTTTGTTTTTCTTAAGTTTTTCGTAAAGAAATATCTATATTTTTAATAAAATTTTGCAACACAATTTTTTCAGCGCACTCAACATGTGCTTCTCACAAAATTGGCGGGAAAGTGAACATATGTTTTACAAAACATCTAGAAATGTGCCCAAAGCAAATCATTTATAAAATACGTTTGTTTCAGATGTACAACATATAGCCACATTCGATTTTTTCGATTTGCATTGCGAAAAAATATCTTTTAAAGGGTATGTTGCAGATATGCAACACTGCCATATAAAGGGTTAAAAAACAAACTAAATAAATGCATATTTAAAAATAAAAATAAAAATTTTAATAAACAATTCAAATGCTTACAATAATGAGATCCTTCATGGACTATAACAAACCAAAAAAATATTAAATATAATTAAAATTAAATGTATGGCTTTTAGTCTTCTGCCAAGATCCAAGAGTTATGATGAAGAAAAAGAAGCATGTCCACATGCTTAGCTTTTAAGGCTCGTCGTTCCGTGATAATCTGTCCAACTTTGCTGAACAATCGCTCTGACTCAGTGGATGAGTGGGTGCCGCACTCGATTCGACACAACTGCTGACTGCATAGTGACTGGTTCAACTGAAGCAAATGAATTTTTGGTGGTTTCAGTTCTGGCAGCCGCCCGTATCCACTCTTTATATGCAACTCAAACCTCTTGCATGGCTTCCTGAAATAAAAATTACAAAAAACGCACTTAGATAAATCCTCACACAAACACACATACATACACTATACATATACATACACTGTCATTGTCCAGCTGTACATGTATGGTTGCGCCTGCTGCGTAAACTCTGCTACATTGTACTTGTATTAGCATTGTGCCGCCTGGATGTGTAAGCTCCACTGCTGACTGCATAGTGACTGGTGCACCTGCCATAACTTAGTAGAAAGCGCGAGAGAGTAAGCAAGAAACAAATGAATTTTTGGTAGTTTCAGTTCTGGCAGCCGCCCGTATCCACTCTTTACATGCAACCCAAACCTCTTGCATGGCTTCCTGAAATAAAAATTACAAAAAAACGCACTTAGATAAATCCTCACTCAAACACACATACATACACTATACATATACATACACTGTCATTGTCCAGCTGTACATGTATGGTTGCGCCTGCTGCGTAAACTCTGCTACATTGTACATGTATTAGCATTGTTCTGCCTGGATGTGTAAGCTCCACTGCTGACTGCATAGTGACTGGTGCAACTGCCATAACTTAGTAGAGAGCGCGAGAGAGTAAGCAAGAAACAAATGAATTTTTGGTGGTTTCAGTTCTGGCAGCCGCCCGTATCCACTCTTTACATGCCATAACTTAGTAGAGAGCGCGAGAGAGTAAGCAAGAAACAAATGAATTTTTGGTGGTTTCAGTTCTGGCAGCCGCCCGTATCCACTCTTTATATGCAACCCAAACCTCTTGCATGGCTTCCTGAAATAAAAATTACAAAATACGCACTTAGATAAATCCTCACACAAACACACATACATACACTATACATATACATACATTGTCATGTATGGTTGTGCTTGCTGCGTAAACTCTGCTCCACGCTGTGCCAAAAGGCACAGGTTCCATTAGTGCTAAAAGATCCCAAGGTATGTCGGCCATTGAAGTAGAGCTGAAAAACTATCCATGGTTGCAACATTCAATAGTTTCGATGGTTTTGCAACAATTATTCAATAGTATCGATAGTACTATCGAAAATATTTTCAAGTTAAAAAACAAACTAAATAAATGCATATTTAAAAATAAAAATAAAAATTTTAATAAACAATTCAGATGTTTACAATAATGAGATCCTTCATGGACTATAACAAAACAAAAAAATATTAAATATAATTAAAATTAAATGTATGGCTGTTAGCCAATGAAGTAGAGCTGTCAAATGAGATCCTTCTTGGACTATAATAAAACAAAAATATATTAAATATAATTAAAGATAAATGTATGGCTTTTAGCCAATGAAGTAGAGCTGTCAAACTATCGATGGTTGCAACATTCAATAGTTTCGATGGTTTTGCATATATTATTCAATAGTATCGATAGTACTAAAAAACAAACTAAATAAATGCATATTTAAAAACAAAAATAAAAATTTTAATAAACAATTCAGATGTTTACAATAATGAGAACCTTCATGGACTATAACAAAACAAAAAAATATTAAATATAATTAAAATTAAATGTATGGCTTTTAGCCAATGAAGTAGAGCTGTCAAACTATCGATGGATTGTTGGGATTGTACCTTTTCATGTGGTTCTTAGCCTTTGTTGAACATATCAGTTCATCAACACACAAAAATTGTTCCATAGGAACTTTTTTAAAATTTTTGTTTAGTTCATCTATTATTGGCCTGATTTTGAATAGCCGATCGTGACAGGAGTGTGACAAAGGCAGAGCATTATCATTGTTGTTAAAGTAAATGTGACGCCTCATCATCTCAAATGTTTTTTGCGACATAATATTCTGTATCGCTGGTACTCCAATTATTGTTGACCAATATTGAGTAATTCTTGGAAGACGCGAAATTGACATGTATAATATTATTCCAACAAACTGTCGAATATCTAAGGACGTAAAATTGACATGTGCGTTAGGGTCTTTTTGGCGAATATAAAGATTTGTTTCGATTGTAATTTCATCAAACAGGTTTTTTGGAAAAAGATACCAAAAAAATTGTATTGGCTCTGATAGTTCCATTAGTTCCGGATGCAACATAGTACTCCCGAGAAACTGCAGTTGATTTTCGTTCAAAATTAAACTGCGTTTTCTCCATAGCAAGTTTCTTTTCAGATCAGGGTTATTACTTTTAACATTTGGCTCAGAATCATCTACGAGATTTGAGTTTGAAACGTCTAAGGCATTACTCGGTGGATTTTGGTCATCGATGTCATCTTCATCCGTACTACCTGCATCTTTCTCATCTAGATAAAAATCGCTTTCTTCATCAGCAGAAAAGTCAAGTTCATCCTCGCTATCTAAACTGTTGAAATAATTTTCAACCTGTGAAGGTGTTAAACCTTTTCCTGACATATTTCCTGCGTAAGAAGTACTATTTATATATGTAGTCTCATAAAACACATACAACAAACCCAAGACAAGTTCTATGACACATAACAACAACATATAACCATATGTATAAACACATAACAACATATAATATAAACACAAACACTCTATGTTGCATAAATACAACAAAATAAATTCTGCACAGTATAACTTCGAATACTTGTTTGATGTATATCTGCAACATACCGATTTTTCGAATCTACACACAATACACAACAAGAAACGTGAAAACTTGATAGCACATGCATTTGAAACATATTTACCTTTGTTTTTCTTAAGTTTTTCGTAAAGAAATATCTATATTTTTAATAAAATTTTGCAACACAATTTTTTCAGCGCACTCAACATGTGCTTCTCACAAAATTGGCGGGAAAGTGAACATATGTTTTACAAAACATCTAGAAATGTGCCCAAAGCAAATCATTTATAAAATACGTTTGTTTCAGATGTACAACATATAGCCACATTCGATTTTTTCGATTTGCATTGCGAAAAAATATCTTTTAAAGGGTATGTTGCAGATATGCAACACTGCCATATAAAGGGTTAAAAAACAAACTAAATAAATGCATATTTAAAAATAAAAATAAAAATTTTAATAAACAATTCAAATGCTTACAATAATGAGATCCTTCATGGACTATAACAAACCAAAAAAATATTAAATATAATTAAAATTAAATGTATGGCTTTTAGTCTTCTGCCAAGATCCAAGAGTTATGATGAAGAAAAAGAAGCATGTCCACATGCTTAGCTTTTAAGGCTCGTCGTTCCGTGATAATCTGTCCAACTTTGCTGAACAATCGCTCTGACTCAGTGGATGAGTGGGTGCCGCACTCGATTCAACACAACTGCTGACTGCATAGTGACTGGTTCAACTGAAGCAAATGAATTTTTGGTGGTTTCAGTTCTGGCAGCCGCCCGTATCCACTCTTTATATGCAGCCCAAACCTCTTGCATGGCTTCCTGAAATAAAAATTACAAAAAACGCACTTAGATAAATCCTCACACAAACACACATACATACACTATACATATACATACACTGTCATTGTCCAGCTGTACATGTATGGTTGCGCCTGCTGCGTAAACTCTGCTACATTGTACTTGTATTAGCATTGTGCCGCCTGGATGTGTAAGCTCCACTGCTGACTGCATAGTGACTGGTGCACCTGCCATAACTTAGTAGAAAGCGCGAGAGAGTAAGCAAGAAACAAATGAATTTTTGGTAGTTTCAGTTCTGGCAGCCGCCCGTATCCACTCTTTACATGCAACCCAAACCTCTTGCATGGCTTCCTGAAATAAAAATTACAAAAAAACGCACTTAGATAAATCCTCACTCAAACACACATACATACACTATACATATACATACACTGTCATTGTCCAGCTGTACATGTATGGTTGCGCCTGCTGCGTAAACTCTGCTACATTGTACATGTATTAGCATTGTGCTGCCTGGATGTGTAAGCTCCACTGCTGACTGCATAGTGACTGGTGCAACTGCCATAACTTAGTAGAGAGCGCGAGAGAGTAAGCAAGAAACAAATGAATTTTTGGTGGTTTCAGTTCTGGCAGCCGCCCGTATCCACTCTTTATATGCAACCCAAACCTCTTGCATGGCTTCCTGAAATAAAAATTACAAAAAACGCACTTAGATAAATCCTCACACAAACACACATACATACACTATACATATACATACACTGTCATTGTCCAGCTGTACATGTATGGTTGCGCCTGCTGCGTAAACTCTGCTACATTGTACATGTATTAGCATTGCGCCGCCTGGATGAGTAAGCTCCACTGCTGACTGCAAAGTGACTGGTGCACCTGCCATAACTTAGTAGAAAGCGCGAGAGAGTAAGCAACAAACAAATGAATTTTTGGTGGTTTCAGTTCTGGCAGCCGCCCGTATCCACTCTTTACATGCAACCCAAACCTCTTGCATGGCTTCCTGAAATAAAAATTACAAAAAAACGCACTTAGATAAATCCTCACACAAACACACATACATACACTATACATATACATACACTGTCATTGTCCAGCTGTACATGTATGGTTGCGCCTGCTGCGTAAACTCTGCTACATTGTACATGTATTAGCATTGTGCTGCCTGGATGCGTAAGCTCCACTGCTGACTGCATAGTGACTGGTGCAACTGCCATAACTTAGTAGAGAGCGCGAGAGAGTAAACAAGAAACAAATGAATTTTTGGTGGTTTCAGTTCTGGCAGCCGCCCGTATCCACTCTTTATATGCAACCCAAACCTCTTGCATGGCTTCCTGAAATAAAAATTACAAAAAACGCACTTAGATAAATCCTCACACAAACACACATACATACACTATACATATACATACACTGTCATTGTCCAGCTGTACATGTATGGTTGCGCCTGCTGCGTAAACTCTGCTACATTGTACATGTATTAGCATTGCGCCGCCTGGATGAGTAAGCTCCACTGCTGACTGCAAAGTGACTGGTGCACCTGCCATAACTTAGTAGAAAGCGCGAGAGAGTAAGCAAGAAACAAATGAATTTTTGGTAGTTTCAGTTCTGGCAGCCGCCCGTATCCACTCTTTACATGCAACCCAAACCTCTTGCATGGCTTCCTGAAATAAAAATTACAAAAAAACGCACTTAGATAAATCCTCACTCAAACACACATACATACACTATACATATACATACACTGTCATTGTCCAGCTGTACATGTATGGTTGCGATTGCTGCGTAAACTCTGCTACATTGTACATGTATTAGCATTGTGCTGCCTGGATGTGTAAGCTCCACTGCTGACTGCATAGTGACTGGTGCAACTGCCATAACTTAGTAGAGAACGCGAGAGAGTAAGCAAGAAACAAATGAATTTTTGGTGGTTTCAGTTCTGGCAGCCGCCCGTATCCACTCTTTACATGCCATAACTTAGTAGAAAGCGCGAGAGAGTAAGCAAGAAACAAATGAATTTTTGGTAGTTTCAGTTCTGGCAGCCGCCCGTATCCACTCTTTACATGAAACCCAAACCTCTTGCATGGCTTCCTGAAATAAAATTTACAAAAAAAACGCACTTAGATAAATCCTCACACAAACACACATACATACACTATACATAAACATACACTGTCATTGTCCAGCTGTACATGTATGGTTGCGCCTGCTGCGTAAACTCTGCTACATTGTACATGTATTAGCATTGTGCTGCCTGGATGTGTAAGCTCCACTGCTGACTGCATAGTGACTGGTGCAACTGCCATAACTTAGTAGAGAGCGCGAGAGAGTAAGCAAGAAACAAATGAATTTTTGGTGGTTTCAGTTCTGGCAGCCGCCCGTATCCACTCTTTATATGCAACCCAAACCTCTTGCATGGCTTCCTGAAATAAAAATTACAAAAAACGCACTTAGATAAATCCTCACACAAACACACATACATACACTATACATATACATACATTGTCATGTATGGTTGTGCTTGCTGCGTAAACTCTGCTCCACGCTGTGCCAAAAGGCACAGGTTCCATTAGTCCTAAAAGATCCCAAGGTATGTCGGCCATTGAAGTAGAGCTGAAAAACTATCCATGGTTGCAACATTCAATAGTTTCGATGGTTTTGCAACAATTATTCAATAGTATCGATAGTACTATCGAAAATATTTTCAAGTTAAAAACAAACTAAATAAATGCATATTTAAAAATAGAAATAAAAATTTTAATAAACAATTCAGATGTTTACAATAATGAGATCCTTCATGGACTATAACAAAACAAAAAAATATTAAATATAATTAAAATTAAATGTATGGCTGTTAGCCAATGAAGTAGAGCTGTCAAATGAGATCCTTCATGGACTATAATAAAACAAAAATATATTAAATATAATTATAGATAAATGTATTGCTTTTAGCCAATGAAGTAGAGCTGTAAAACTATCGATGGTTGCAACATTCAATAGTTTCGATGGTTTTGCAACAATTATTCAATAGTATCGGTAGTACTATCGAAAATATTTTCAAGTTAATAAACAAACTAAATAAATGCATATTTAAAAATAAAAATAAAAATTTTAATAAACAATTCAGATGTTTACAATAATGAGATCCTTCATGGACTATAACAAAACAAAAAAATATTAAATATAATTAAAATTAAATGTATGGCTTTTAGCCAATGAAGTAGAGCTGTCAAACTATCGATGGTTGCAACATTCAATAGTTTCGATGGTTTTGCATATATTATTCAATAGTATCGATAGTACTAAAAAACAAACTAAATAAATGCATATTTAAAAACAAAAATAAAAATTTTAATAAGCAATTCAGATGTTTACAATAATGAGATCCTTCATGGACTATAACAAAACAAAAAAATATTAAATATAATTAAAATTAAATGTATGGCTTTTAGCCAATGAAGTAGAGCTGTCAAACTATCGATGGTTGCAACATTCAATAGTTTCGATGGTTTTGCATATATTATTCAATAGTATCGATAGTACTAAAAAACAAACTAAATAAATGCATATTTAAAAACAAAAATAAAAATTTTAATAAACAATTCAGATGTTTACAATAATGAGATCCTTCATGGACTATAACAAAACAAAAAAATATTAAATATAATTAAAATTAAATGTATGGCTTTTAGCCAATGAAGTAGAGCTGTCAAACTATCGATGGATTGTTGGGATTGTACCTTTTCATGTTGTTCTTAGCCTTTGTTGAACATATCAGTTCATCAACACACAAAAATTGTTCCATAGGAACTTTTTTAAAATTTTTGTTTAGTTCATCTATTATTGGCCTGATTTTGAATAGCCGATCGTGACAGGAGTGTGACAAAGGCAGAGCATTATCATTGTTGTTAAAGTAAATGTGACGCCTCATCATCTCAAATGTTTTTTGCGACATAATATTCTGTATCGCTGGTACTCCAATTATTGTTGACCAATATTGAGTAATTCTTGGAAGACGCGAAATTGACATGTATAATATTATTCCAACAAACTGTCGAATATCTAAGGACGTAAAATTGACATGTGCGTTAGGGTCTTTTTGGCGAATATAAAGATTTGTTTCGATTGTAATTTCATCAAACAGGTTTTTTGGAAAAAGATACCAAAAAAATTGTATTGGCTCTGATAGTTCCATTAGTTCCGGATGCAACATAGTACTCCCGAGAAACTGCAGTTGATTTTCGTTCAAAATTAAACTGCGTTTTCTCCATAGCAAGTTTCTTTTCAGATCAGGGTTATTACTTTTAACATTTGGCTCAGAATCATCTACGAGATTTGAGTTTGAAACGTCTAAGGCATTACTCGGTGGATTTTGGTCATCGATGTCATCTTCATCCGTACTACCTGCATCTTTCTCATCTGGATAAAAATCGCTTTCTTCATCAGCAGAAAAGTCAAGTTCATCCTCGCTATCTAAACTGTTGAAATAATTTTCAACCTGTGAAGGTGTTAAACCTTTTCCTGACATATTTCCTGCGTAAGAAGTACTATTTATATATGTAGTCTCATAAAACACATACAACAAACCCAAGACAAGTT